TTTTAAATAAACACATTTTTTTTTTTTAAAACCTCGTTTTCTTAAATTAATGCTTTTTGTACCTAAAGATTGCTATTTTTATTGATTCAATACATATTTTTGTTCTTTTTTACTGGGTTGGTAAAAATGAACTATAAATGTGTAAAACCATTTTAACCCTTAAAAAAAATACTATGAGTGAATTATCTATAAAAGTTTTTATCAACCATATTAATAATAAGGACCTAATCTAAATTTTTTTTTTTTACTTGTTATATTAGAACTATTTACTGAATTATGTTAGAATTATATTATAAATATTAATTATAAATACTTGTCATTTTAATTAATCTACTGTTTTTTTTTAAAACAACTGATCATTTTGCTTAATTTACTGGTTGATTAACTGGGCTAATACTGATTCAAATTTTCTAGTGTCTGAATAAAAAAATGCTGATCATTTTATTAAAAGTACTGGTCATTTAATATTGTTTATTGAAAAATACAATAATTAGGTGTTTCATAATTAAAGTAAATGCTTTGAAAAATGTGTGCATTATATAAAATTTACAGTTCTGCAAAACCAGGGTTGCTTAACATGGTGTATAGGCCAACTTCTTATGTCTTGTTTTTTTAACATCTGTTAAAATTTTAAAAATCTGCACTCTGTTAAAAGTTTAAAATCTGCACTCAGTTTAAATCACTAAACCATTGATCTTTTTTGATCAACTTTTTTGATCAACAGAAATATACAATAGAGTTAAAAAATACTAAACAAAGAAAACTAAACAGGTGATGCACATCACAAGACAGCAAAAAAATCTATTATAAAGATGAAAAACAAACTTACAGAAATTTCTATAAAAATTTACAAAGTATGCAACTTGCAAATGAAACGACTTTAGTTATCTTAGAAAGTAAACAGGTTTAAAAGAAAGTTTAGTGAAATCAAACCAGAGGTTCATCAAAAAACAAACTGAAGAAGTCAAAAAAAAAGATTAAAAAAAAATTTGTTTAGCTGATTTTTTAATTAGTAAATGGTTTGAAACTGTCTTTTATTTTAGTTAATTTTACTGTTTTATTATCTTAAGTTGTTTCTCCATTAAAATTTTTTAATTTTATAAATTTCGTCAGTTTTTTACTTTTTCTTTGTGAAACTTTTTGCAATTTATTGACCTTAATGGAAAGGACTTTTTTTGTTTGTTTCTTTCAGATAAGTTTTTAATTATCATAACTAGATAATTGGCCTTTGTGATGTAAAACTTGTACACCAGCCATTATAATAAATGGTCCTTCAGACTTTTGAAAGGTTATTTTGCTTTAATTAATTTGAATATTGAAAAGAATTATGTTATGAGAATTCTTGCATTTGTTGTCTTTATTTAAAAAAAAATCTAATTCTCAATACTTTTGAGTAGTATTATAGTGTTGATGCTTTATTAATTTGTTGCCATTTTATTAGATTATGCTTTATTATATAGATATATTATATAGTATGTAATATAGAATAATAACCAATTAAATTATAATGATAACCAATTAAAGAATTATAACAATTAAATTAAACAATAATAATTAAAAAACAATAACCAATTAAATTGCCTTTATACAAATGCTACCTCATTAAGTTCAGATAAAGTAATTTAATTATCATTATTAGCTTCAATGTACAAACCTCATATTATATTTATCATTGAAACTTGGTTTAAAGAAGATTCTTTAGTAAATATTGAAAATTACTATTTACACAAATTTAACAGAAATGACAATAATTCAAACAGAAATAATGGTGGCGGTGAACAAACAGAAATAATGGTGGTCAAACAAATATTAATGGTGGTGAAATATGTTCATGACAGTAACCATCATTTGAAATAAAAAACTCATCAATGAATGTTACCAAATCTGAACAAATTTGGTGCCTTATCAAGTATGGAAACAAAACTATTAAGCTTGGTTGTATTTATTGTCCACCGTTAAATTCAAAAGTTATTTATAATGCCGAAAAATCAAATAACACTAACATTAAAATGTCAAACCAAGCTGACAATGAAATAATTCAAAGTATACAAACAGCAAAAATAGAGTTAAACAGAAAAATATATACAGGTATACTCATATGTGGTGATTTCAATTTTCCATGCATCAAATGGTATGAGGATGGTTCTGTTCAAGTTAATGGTAATAAAAACAGTACTGGTGCTAGAGTTGTAAATCTTATTAACAGTATAAACATCATTCAAAATGTAACATTTCCAACATTCATCCAAGAAAATAAAATGCCTAAAAATATATTGGACCTGGTCATAACTGATTCATCAGACCGAACCAAACACATAGAAAATTTACCACCACTTGGATTAGCTAGTCAAGGCCATTTGGTACTAAAATTTAATTACAATTTATCAAGTAATAAAGATAAATCAAATTATTTAACATTCAAGTACAATTACAATAGAAGTGATTTCAATTCTATCATTAAATGTTTTCAAAATATAGATTGGTTAAAAGAGTTAAATATAAAATGACATGAGTGATAAATGATAGTTACAACTTATTTTTGAATCATTATAACTACATAACAAATATGTTTGTACGAAAAAATATATTTAAAAATAAAAACAAACCTCTTTGGCTCAATCGTACCCTTTTAATCCTCAAAAATAAAAATAAATAGATTTTGGCATAAAAATCAAATTCAAAGTGGAAAATAGCTGAACTTGTTGAACAATACAAATAATTAAAATCTTCTTTACAATTACAAAAAAGATTAACTATTAAAAAATTTGAACATAGTTTAGCATTTGATACAAAAAATCTCAAACGTTTGTTTAGTCATGCTAATAGTTCTTGCAAAATCAAACAAAGCATCAAATCAATTCGAAATAAATATGGAGACACATTAAATGATCAATTCAAATCAGTCTTCAACAATTATTCAGTTAACAAAGATTCTCCACTACTTTTAGATTGTACAACTGAGCGTTTATCAAGCCTTCATTTTTCAATAGATGAAAAAAAATTTAAACCCAAATAAAACAACCGGACCGGACCACCCAATGATATTAAAACAATGTGCTAATGTACTATCTTTACCTCTAACAATGATATTCAACAAATCAATATCAGAAAGATCGATTCCTCATGCATGGCGTAACGCAAATGTTACTCCACTATTTAAAAAAGGGATACCAATGAACCAAGTAATTATAGACCAGTTTCTCTTACATCTATTCTACATAAATTAATGGAAAACTTAGTAACCAATGACATTGTAAATCATCTCTCAAAACTAAATTTATTGTCTCAATCTCAATATGGTTTCTTAAAGAATAAAGAATGTGTTACAAACTTATTAGAATCCAATGATTATGTTACAAAATGCTTAGCTAACAAAAATGCAGTAGATGTGGTATATCTGGACTTTTCAAAAGCTTTTGACACAATCTCTCACAAATTGTTAATCATCAAGCTTAAAGCTTATGAAATAGTTTATATATACACCGCTAGTAACGTGAGCCCTGATTGGGCTCACGTTACTAGCGGTGTCCCACAAGGCTTAGTTTTAGGCCAAATACTTTTTATAATTTACATCAATGACTTGCCAGACAATTTAAAATGTGTCAGTAAACTATATGCAGATGATTTAAAATTAATGAATGAGCTACGAGTAAAAACCATTCTTAAATGATACCACTGACATTCAAACTGATTTAGATAAAATCACCGAATGGACAAAAGTTTGGTTGATGAAGCTGAATCTAGAAAAATGTAAAGTTATGCATATGGGAAGAAACAACCCATGCTCAAACTATTCAATTCAAGATACAACCAACAATTTATATTACGATTTAGAAAAATCAGATGTAGAAAAAGATCTTGGTATATTTGTTTCAAGTAATGCTAAATATCCCAATGCTAAAGACCAAGTTGTACAAAACGTATGTCAGATCTTACCTGGAATATGCAATCAGTGCTTGGTCATCTTATTTAATGAAACATATAAAGATTATTGAAAAGATTCAAAGACGATCAACAAAAGTCCCAAACATATGCAAACATCTTGATTACACAGATAGATGTATCTTATTTCAAATTTAACAACTGGAGGATCATAGAATAAGAGGTGACTTAATTCAAAAGTTTAAAATTGAAAAAGGTCTTACCATCATTAACTGGCACAATAAACCTATTATACGTCCAGCTCGATGTGGTCAACAAGAACAGTTTGTACACGAATTTAACAGAAATTATGATCCACGATATTATTTTTTTAGTAATTGTGTTGCTAAGCATTGAAATGCACTCAATGATGCAACAGTTAACTGTTCTTTGACTAATGAATTTAAACGAATGCTTGACAGTTCAATTGATAGTTGCCTATAATCATTATATGACTTTAATAGGGTCTGTATCCTATTTGCAACTCATATACTATTACTATTACTATATAATTTCCGATTAAATACTTACATTAAATAAATTATGTAAGATCTTCAAGACAATTTTTTTTACCATTTCGAATTTGAAGAAAGTGCTTTTCTATTAAGACCGGAAAAAGATTTCAGGGTCAAAATCTTTGAAAAATGTGTATAACAGTGCTGGACAACCTGATATATATATATATATATATATATATATATATATATATATATATATATATATATATATATATATATATATATATATATATATATATATATATATATATATATATATATATATATATATATATATTTGCAATTTTAAAGTTATTATTTCATTATATAACAGAATTTCAAATAAAATTCAAAATTCAGTATAAAGTAAATGTACTCAACTTTTATAGTAAATGTGCAGTAGTGTTAGTGGAATTTTGAATTGTTAATTATGAGTTAAATAAGTTTAAAAAGATTTTTTAAATTTTTACACTGAAAATTAAAATCTACTTTAATTACCATAAATTGTTTTTATCTACTTTTATAATACGATCTATTTACTGCCTGTATTAATACCTGTATTATCTTTTGTATTTGGAGCAGATTTCAGTGCTGAATACACTTTTGTTACAACATGTACACAGAATGGATCAGAAAGTGAGCGTGGTCACACAGTTGTACTGAAAACACCTGCAAGTAGGAGTTTTTAAGGTTTTACTGATTACTTTTTTTTTTAAATCTAGAGTTACTTACAATTATATCAATTTAAACTCGAATTAATATAATTGTAAATATTAAAATCCTTAGTAGATTAAGCTAAATAATTTAAAAAATTATGATAATTTTTTTATAGCTCCTAAACCTATTGCATTATCAAAAAATACTGCTCTTGTTTTGTTACTCTACTTTCCTGATGCTAAGTAAGTTCTTTTTATTTATTTTGAAAGTCTTTGATATTTGGCCATATGTTTGTAAAATCTTTAACCAATCATTAATTTGGCCAAAAATGAGATGACTTACTGCAAACATGTGTGATACTAGGTTTTGTTAACTAACACTCTTTCTATGTTTTTTTTAATTTATGAGGTTTTAAATGTGACAGAATTATAGTAGTTGCTACTAATGGTATGATTTTTATAGATTTCTAATAATTAAGGTTATGGTATGGTAATGGCAATTATTTTGTTTAATGAAATATAGTCTGAAATTTTTGGAAAAAATTATAATAAAAGTAAAGTTTATCCTATCAAAACTAATCTAATCTCAGGCCTTTATTATTACTATAACTATTTTACTATAACTAATTGTATAATTATATTAATCTAACTACATAACTTTTACTCAAACTGCACATCTAATATTCATTAGTTATTGTTAGATATTCGCTTTTTAATATATTATATTAAATATATTCATTTGATGTATGAGCTTATAAAAAGTATCCAACTTATTTTTTCAATATTTATTTAACTTTTTTATTAATTTTTTAATATTTTTTATTAGTTTTGTTTCGATTTATTATTTGGATTGAAACTAATTTTGCATAATTTTTACAAAAGGTTTATTCAATTGATTGTACAAAGATTACCCCAACCATCTGAAATACCAGAAACAACTAAAGTTAATACAACTGAACTATTACCTGAGTATAATACTGATATTAAATCCAGATATATTGCCATAACAGTTGATCATTTGGTGAAGGATGAAATTTTTATTGTTGGCAATGATTCAGTGTATACGTACAATAATGTTGGTAAGAATTTTTTTCCTTACTAGATATATTTGTTTTATTGTTGTGTGTGTGTATATATATATATATATATATATATATATATATATATATATATATATATATATATATATATATATATATATATATATATATATATATATATATATATATATATATATATCAAAGCCGGATCAAGGGGGCAAGGGTGCAAAGGGGGCTGTAGCCCCAGGCCCCGCAAATTTAGGGGCCCCAAAAAGTTTTAGAGGACTATTTTTTTTTTAGTCATTTTTAGGCTCTGGTTTATGAAAAGGCCTCCAAAAACAAAAATAACTCCTGGCCCCAAGTAGTCTTAACCGGCCACATAAATATATATATATTGAATATATATATATATATATATATATATATATATATATATATATATATATATATATATATATATATATATATATATATAAAAATGCTTGCACAGTATGCAAACATGCAACAAAATCATCAAATAATCTGAGCTGTGAAAATTGTAAAAAAAATGTACCATGAAAGGTGTAGCCCCATCGATTTTTGTGAGGGTGCAGTTGTGCCTCACAATGGGGGCAAAACCGTTTTTTTCACTAAGTGTAATTTTTGTGTAATAACATTTTCAAAACCCGATTAACTTTTTTCTTAAATGCATCAATTTAAAGCCTAATGATGTGGTTATTGAAATAAACTGCTAAAAAAACAGATTTCGTTTTTATTTTCATAAAACATTAATCCAAACGTTACGGGGGCGGTTATGCTCCCACTTTCCCTATATATATATATATATATATATATATATATATATATATATATATATATATATATATATATATATATATATATATATATATATATATATATATATATATATATATATATATATATATATAAATAAATAAATATATATATATATTTTTTGAATTTACTGATAATGATTTTTTTTTGAATTATTATTGACAGTTGTATTTTTTTAAATTTTTTAAAATTGTTTAAGTATGTATTTTTTATTATAAATGCTATTAAAAAATAAAAAATTATTTTGTTTTTTATAAATAATAACTTTTTAAAACAATGAAAGTCTCTTTAACAAATTGTAATATAAGAATCATAGAAGTTAATACAGTTAGAAAAATAAAAAAAATTTTGTTAAAAATAAAAGACTAAGATCTTTAATGCTTTTATATTATTGAAACGCCTTTTAATAAAGTAACAAAACACTTCGAATGAATTTTTATATTAAGTTTTAATAAACTGTTTTTTTTTTTTGTTTTTTTGTATAAATATATATTTTTTATGATAAATGTTAATACCTTGAAACAAATTTAACTAGAAAAACAAAGTACAAATGTTAAAACAAAGAATGAAATGATTTTTTAATGCGTAATTATTTACTAGTTTACATTTACATGGAAACTGATATTTTTAAATTAGTAAAAAGCACTATAAACGAGTTTGAATTAATTAAAATAGGCATGAGTATTTTTTAAATAATCATTGAAAGTAAATTGTTCTTTAAATAATTCAAACAGAGATATTTGTAAATTTAACATAAGTAATTGTTTCAAGACTCACACCTAAATTCCTTATGATTGATTACATATAAATTTTATATATAATGTAGTATAATTGTTCTCTTTGTTAAGTTTATATAATTATTCTTAATAATTATATAAAAATAATAATGAGCAAACAAATAAGTAATACTAATAAATAATAATAAATGTATAAGGCAAACATTCAAAGATTTCAACTTAGTATTTTTTATCTTTTTATATTTTATGTCGAAAATATTTCCATTATATTTTTTATTACATATTTATTTGGGTTACATTAGCATTTTCATATTTTTAAGTTAAAATTTTACAGGGTTATGCAAAATTATAAAGTGCTTTATGCAAAATTATAAATTGTTTTATGCTAAATTATAAAGTGCTTTATGCAAAATTATAAAGTGCTTTATGCAAAATTATAAATTGCTTTATGCAAAATTATAAAGTGCTTTATGCAAAATTTCAAATCGTTTAATAAATCCATTTAAAGCATAAAAAAGTTCGAATATATGATTTATTTATATATAAGCTCATTTAACATTTAGACTTCAGTTGCAAAAATTATATTAATTTAAGCAACTACTTTATTCAAAAATCATGCTTTGTTTAGCTTTTTCCAACCATCATTCCATTGATCTCCAAAATCCACTTAATTCTTCGTTAATTTCACGCATTCGATTAAAAATTCCAATGCATCTCTAATATTAATTTCATTATTTAAAGCTTTTATTCCGCTATATCTTGCCTTTATCATGCTAAAAAATTCCTCAATGGGATTTAATTGAGGAGACCATGTCGGTAAATATTCTCTATTTATTCTTAATTCATTTAAAACTTCTATATTACTTCTTGATCTGTGAAATGGAACATTATCCATTATCAGTATATGGTCTGGGTTTTGTCGGAAATAATTACACAGGTTATTTCTTATAAATTTTTCAAAGCTTTCAGCATTATAAGCTCCAGTTCTTAATTCATAAGCAACCACACCAGAAATATTTATTGCACACATCAAACTTCGATTTCTATTTCTGTTTCCGGAAACAATGGAACATGTCTTTTCATTTTTTTGGGAATACTCATATCGTCTTCTCAAATGCTGATTAAATCCTGATTCGTCTAAAAAGACCAATTTATCACTAGAAATACGCGAGATACAGTGGGCATATATGGCCCTTTTTTCAATATTTGCTGGGGAATTTCGTTCTTCGGGAACCAATGAAAGCCTTTTTTGCGTTATACTTATTTTCCGCAATTTCCTTGATACTGTTGATTAAGATATTACCATACCGGTTGCTGCATTAACTTCATTTACCATTTCATTTTGTGTCAGTTCATTATTTATTGCTATTGTATTAAATAAAGTATTTTGGATTTCACTGAACAACAAATTTTTGTTTTTAATTGTTTGCTTGTGGCGTTCTCCCTTAGTAGCAAATTTGATGCCTTCTTGATGATTTCTTATGCAGTTTCTTACAGCACTTTGGCTAATGTTTAAAGTTTCGGCAATGTATTTGGTTGAATGATTATTTATCAAATTAGACATGTTTATAATTGTTTCATGAATTTCCTTAGTTATCGTTATTCGAATTTTTCTTGCCATGTAAAGTTTTAAATTTTTATTTTTTAACATTAATTTAAAAAACTTGCATTAATTAGATAAAAATGTTACTGATTTGGTTTACGTTTTTCAGCCAGTTAGTCATTTAATTTTTAATTACAATTTAATATTGTATTTTAATTCCAATGCATTCTTAGATGATTCTGAAAATGACCTGTACTATTATAATGGCATTTATTTATTGTTAAATAAAGCACTTTATAATTTTGCATAAAGCAATTTATAATTTTGCATAAAGCACTTTATAATTTTGCATAAAGCACTTTATAATTTTGCATTAAGCACTTTATAATTTTGCATAACCCTGTAAGTTGAAAATGAAATTTGTATTTGAAATGTTTTATTGTTAAATATATATTATATTATATATGTTTGTTAACAATTATGTAATGTAAGTAGTACACATTTTTAAGCATTTTTTTTTGTATAGTTTATCACAATGTTCCTCTTGAGCCAAACACAAAATATATGTTTTTCCAACGTACATATTTAAACAATACTGTGCATTTTTCTCACGAATGGATGGAAGTTCAGACAAAACCTGAAGAAGCAACTAATACGCTTAGTGGTATCTATAATAATCTTAATTTATACGCAATTATTGAATAAAATCCAAATTTATATTAATTTAAAGAATTATGAAATAATTAAGTAGGTAATATATATATGTATATATATATATATATATATATATATATATATATATATATATATATATATATATATATATATATATATTTTATATATATATGTATATATGTATATATATATATGTATATATATATGTATATATATATTTATGTATATATATATATATATATATATATATATATATATATATGTATATATATATATATATGTATATATATATATGTATATATATATATATATGTATATATATATATGTATATATATATATGTATATATATATATATATATATATATATATATATATATATATATATATATATATATGTATATGTATATATATATATATATATATATATATATATATATATATATATATATATATATATATATATATATATATATATATATATAGTATATATGTATATGTATATATATATATATATATATATATATATATATATATATATATATATATATATATATATATATATATATATATATATATATGTATATATGTATATGTATATATATATATATATATGTATATATATATATATATATATATATATATATATATATATATATATATATATATATATATATATATATATATATATATATATATATATATATAATTTACTAGGAACGAAGATAGGATTAATATCAGCTGGAACTGTACTTGGTGCCTTATTACTTGTAATTGGATTTTGTTGTATTTTGTGTTATCAACATTCAAATAAATCAGTCAAAGAAAATAATGGTTTGTGTCATCATTACTTTTTTTTTTGCTTATATAGAAAGTTTTTATTCATTTCAAAATTAAGATTTATTATCTAATTAACTTATTTAAATTTTTATTTTCATATTTTAATCAGGCCGCCAATGGCTTTTGTCTCTTGAAAAGTTGGCTTTTTCGCAGAATGTTAATTTGCCCCGGGAGGCAATGTCAACTCATGTCATTTTCATAGAACTAATTTAATTTAATAGTCTACTGGATTAACTAAAAAAATCACCCCAGCCTACAATAAAGTGCTTGGCCGAATATTCGGTATTTGGTATTCAGCAAAATCACTATTTGTGACATCTCTGCTAAAAGTACACCTTCCAATTAATAGGGAATATATTTTTTTTGGTGAAGTATTTTGTATATGTTCACTTGCGCAAAGTTTTTCCAAAATACCGAATATTTTTCGACACAGTTTATTTTGTTTTCATACTTCAAACTGTTTTAACTATAGTTACTAAAAGTCCTCAAACTATTCAAAAAAATTACAAAAATAACTAGCTCAGTTATATCTTGCATTTCTGAGGTAGTTTCAGAAGTTGCTGTAGAGAGATATAACGCAAAGAACTTATTAAAAATGATGTTTTCACTACAATCTGAACTTAAAGCATGGTTTAACTTTAAAGATAATGTCAGTTATACGGTTCTCTCTTTAATTTGGAGGGCTAATAAGTGTGGTTTGGCATATGCGCAAACTGACATAAGTGCAAACTGGTATAAGTGCAAAGCAGTTGCAAAAACTGGCATAAGTGCAAACTAGCATAAATTTGAATTGGCACAAGTGTGCCAAAAGAATTTACAAATATTGGCATAGGTGTAAAATATGAGAGCGCTGAAAGAATTTGTGAAAATTGGCATATGTTCAAACTAGCACATATGTAAGTTAATATAAGTGCTAAGCAGTTGCAAATGTTGGTAAAGTGCCAGTTCTATGCCCAAGTTTTCAAATTCTTTTGGCACATACTTTTCATATATTATTGGAAAGGTAATTTAATGCTGATTTATATTCATATAAGATCTGTTGAAAATGTTGAAAAGTTTTGAAAATATTTAACAAGATATGCTTATTACTTTAATGCAATGTTCTATAAATTCCATGAATTTTGCAGTAACTATATATGGGCATTAAAACATTCAATGTTATGCTAGTTATTCATGCATGTCGTATTGGTTTATATTTTTATAAAATTTTTTAGTAAACCATTTCAAGTAATAGTTAAAAATTGAACTATTGTTTTAGTATTAGATGTTTATTTAACCTGTAAAACAGCAAAAAACATTGTTTGGTAATTAATAACTATTTATTGCTGAAGTTTAACAAAATAACAATTAAAAGGATTTAAATGTTTAAAATGTTAAACAAGAGCATTTAATAAGCACGCTCTAAATCAGCCGGTGACTTTATATTCGCTTTCAATATATTCGTCTAATCGTTTTTAAACGTTTTTACTGATGTAGATAGCACAATAGAGGGAGGAAGACGATTTCATACAGTGGCTATTTTATTAAGAATAAAGTTCTCTCTTTATGGACAACATTCTTTTATTAGTTCTTTTTAAATCCAGTGGAATTTTCTCTGTATGCAAATTGTTCCATTAACTCATCAGGTTTTACTATTATTTTTAATGTTGATATACACTATTTAACTTGTATGAAACTGTGGACAATTTTGAAGCACTCTATTGAATCTCCTCTTAACCTTCGAGTTACGATCAAAAAAGTTTAATATTAAACTTTTTTGATCGTGATTCATAACTTAGATGCGAGAGGCTTCTTGTTCAAGTAACTCTTCTTTGAACTTTTTCAAGAGTTGCTATATCGTATTTCTTTGATGGATTCCAGATTGGTTCAAGAAGCGGTCGAACAAAGACTTCAGCAATTGAGGTGGTGTAGAATTCAAATGTGTGTTTAATTAAATCAAGCATTCTGTTAGCTCTGTTGGCACAGTAATTAATGTTTACTGTATTTTCCATCAGTTTACTTTAGTTATTTTGAATTTCAATTACTTCTAATGAAAACTTTATAGTTAGTATTGAATTAAATTCAAATTTTTAATGGTATGTTTATTAATCTATTGATATAATTGTTAAACATGGTTATAGTTTACATGGTCATTGTGGTTATAAATTCCTTTTGGTAACTAATACTCCAAAATTAAAGAGTCAGTATTCTGTACATTGTAGATGCAAATATATTGATTTATTTTTAGGTGGCTCAAGTTGCCGTCAAAGAAAAGTTTTTGATATACTAAGAACCATTTATTTTTAATGACTCACATGCTATAGTCAAGTTGAAGGGTTTAAAAGCACTAATCAACTTTAGCAAAACAAAAAAAAAAGGAAATGTAAGAATTAACTTTGTTCTTCAATGCTATGAAAATTAGAACCCGATAGGTAGAGTTTTAGTTCATCATGGCTACAGAAGGATGTTTGTAGATCATAAACTCTGCACACACAAAAAAACATTATTTTTGGTATTATGGAACTTTTTTGACTGGAAAAAAGATTGTTTTCTTTGCAAAAAAAAAAAATGATGACAATAAAAGAAACCCTGTTATTAAAGTAGCAACTTTACCAATCTTTCAATAAAAAACTCATTGAAAGTTGTTTAGAATAAAAATGATGTGTTAGGAAAATCAGTAAATGGATGTCTAGAAAATTGCATTGATCTTGTCACAGTTGATTCTGTCTACCATAACATATGCATAGCATAGTTTAGACTAATGTGCCATCTAAAAATATAAAAAGAAGACCTATCTATGATCTAATAAAAAAAATCTATCTATGATCTAATAGAAGCATAATATAGAATATTTAACAAGTTGACGCCGGCGCACATTTTCATTTATTTTGCAGGAATCATCTGGCAGGAAGCGTGTGTACCACCGGTGTGTACCACCAGTACACACCTGTGTACACACTGGTGTGTACCGGTGGTACACACCAGTACACACCAGTGGTACACACTGGTACACACCGGTTTTTTAGTGTGTACCACTGGTGGTACACGCCGGCGTAAATGTGTTAAATGTTAGAATCATTTAAAAAATTTTGTATATGGTTAGAAGAGGATGCAGATATTAAGTTGTATATATTGAAGGAGCTTCACAAGAAGATGCACCAACTTAATTGAAATGATAAAAAGTATATTCAGTCAAGTGACTTAGAAAGAAGCCAAAACTACTTTGGTGAGTTCAGTTTCAAACAGATGTGGTTTGTCTTAAAGATATGGCCTCTTATCTTGTAAATAAAATGAAAAAGAAGACAATAAATACAGTTGATGATATAGTTAGAGCAATAGCAAATAAAGATAAATACCCTACTACAGATGATATAATCAACTGAAAAGATGATCCAAATACATGATATTGCACAATACAATGCATTGTGCAAGCATCTAGACCATTATCTCTAATTCTGTTTGGAATTAGTGTTGAATGACAATGTTGAATTAGACAAATCTTTTGGTTCTAAATTGCTGGTTGAATATTTTTTATTATTTAGATTCTCTATCACAATGGATGAAATCATTCAATTCAAACAATCTGAGATTGAAGCAAATGACACTGTTAATCTAAGCTGCACTTAAAATAATACTGCTGGATTTTCTTGTTTATGACAGAAAGGTTAACTTTTCCTTGTTTTAACCTCTTTTTGAAAAAGGAAAAAAATTACTTTGATTGATGACAAGTTTAAAAAGTTTTTACAAATAGAACAATTTTTTACCATGTCAAGTAGAGTAGACAATTTTATCTAGCTATAAAATCACAATCTAGAATGACAGATATCTGGCTTCAATATATGGAATATGTGATAATTGCAAAAAACTTCATTATTGCAAAGAGATTTTCAAATTGGTCTCTTCACATACATAAAACAAAGCTGATTCTAAACTTATTTGCTGCAGTTGGACTTATAAATTAAACCAAAAATGTCAGAATTTATGTTCAAGAAATGGAACACTGGTGTCTAAAAAGTTCTTGGTTTAGTGACTACTTTTGTAATAGTTTTAATTAGTGACTAATTTTATTATAACATGCAGTTAAAATAACCAATCATTTATTGGGCTTTGGTCTGATTTGGCAATAGAAAAAATATTAATGCATTCAGAATGATTCTGTAAAAAGTAGTGCAGTGTAATTCAAGGACATTGGCTAACAGAAAGTTAGTCCATGTCCTCAAAAGAAACAGAAAGTGTCAGAACTCTTTGAGTACTTGAGTACTTAGTTTAAACTCTAGTGTGGCTATAAACAAAACCACGACAATTCTAACAAGATGTAAACAGAAAAAAGAACACAACACAACTTTTTAAACTGTGAAGAATTTGTAAAGTGGTTAAAGAGACAAAATCCGTTTATATATCAAGACTTAAACTTACATTCTCTATCTACAGGTCTTTTGTCCATCATTGGTAATGATAAAATAAATTTTAAAAAAGCTAAAAAATTGGATTGATGATCCATAACTTAGATTTTAGTACCTTCTCTTTAAACGTTTTCTTCAAATTTAAAATTACCCTATCTTTCAATACTAAGTTAAGATATTTCTTTTTTTGTATACGCTTTCTTGTAACTTTTATTATAAAACAGAAAACAATAATGAAAAAATGTAAAAATTTTAAGATTAGGCTTATTCACTTTTAAGATCTCTCTGTTTGTTTTGCTGATGTAATGTATACGAAAAAAATAATTTTTTACTCGCACAAAAAAATTTTCGTGACCATATTATAATATATTCAAAAATGTTTTGTAATTAAAGAAGTAGTAATAAAAAATGTTGCAATTTGGTTAACTGTTTTAATGAAACATATGAACATATTTGATAAAAATATATTAATATAAAATTTGAATAAAATGTTAAAATGCTGCTTTTATTTAAATCATTTTAAAGAAAATATCTGAATGTTCAAACAAAGAGTTGTAATAAAATGCAAGGGTTATGTTATGGATTAGATATAATTTTTATTCCTACTTCTTT